AATCCAGTGACTTGACCCAAAGAGTTGCAAGTTCAATACCTGACCACAGCAGAGGTGAACAAAAACTTGGAGAGTTGAGTTACTAAAGGGAAATAACTGAAACTGAGATATCCAGAAAAGGCATGGAACTAGAACAATCTACCTGGTGGACAAAATAAAGTGGTCGGTTTGAAATTCCAACGTATATCACCTGAAGAAGGCTGAAGTGTACAACAGCCAAAATGTCATGAGTATGACAATAAAGATGAGGATAATAGTCCAAATAGTCTAAATAATGTAAATAGTTAAAATACCTTATCTCAGAAATATAGACAGATCCTGAAGAAGGCCGGATCATACAACAGCTAAAATGTTGTGAATATGGCAATAAAGATGAGAACAACTGGGTAAATAATTACAATACCTCATCTCAGAAATATAGACACACACACACACACACATATATATTGTCACAGCCAAGGTCTCAGACATTAATTACATTTATATTTTAAGTCAGAATATGAGATGATTTAAATCAAGGTGTGATTTCCTGGATTCATACAAGGAAAGGATGTCTATAGATTAGGAATGAGTCAGGCAAAAACATGATAATCGGTGAAAGAAAGACAGTGAACTCATGGGTTCAATTAAAGACAAATAATTTAATTCAATAACATAAAAAGCAAGAAAAGAAAAAGAGAAGATTGTTTTGGGTAAGTATGTGGTGAATGTGGCATTTAACACATAAGTTCCAATATAATATGTGCTTAGATCCATGGAATTCAAGTAGTACCTAACTGGGTTTCAAATTCAATATGTCAATATTTTCATATGAGAATTACATCAGATAGCTCCCTATATACACATAAGAAGAATTGAATTTTGATCAATAAATTCAAAGAAATAGAATGTTTGAAATTATAAGTAATTCCAGTATTTTTCCTGCTGGATTTCATTGTTAAGCAAAAATGTTTTCAGAGTCATCAAATTTAATATCTGACATCTTTTCATAGCTGAGAATATATCCGTAATTCATAGATGTAGTTCTCTGGAACTCCTTCATGGGACAAAACTGGTTAATTCCATTATTTCATTCAGTTACTGTCTTTTCTGTTCATCTGGACAGACAAGTGCAGGAATTGGCCATCCGATTTATTCAGCTGCTTAATTTCCAACTGTCGGATCTTTGATTTTGGCACCACCGTGTTTACCCTTGGTCATATGACCAGCTACAGGATCGACGTGTATGATATCAGAGAGAATCACTCACCCTCTACTGTCTCTGTCCTGTGAGTGGTACAGGGAAATGCAATGATCCACTATCACCATTTGCCTACACGCATACAAGAAGTAGTTAGAATGAAGGAAAAGAAAGAAAGAAAGAAAAAGAAGGAAAAAAAACCCAATGTTTGTTCTAATTATGAGATAATAGATGGATTAGTCTTTCTTTCTCTCCTTTAATACACAAATCATACTATCACGTAACAATATATATATATATATATATATATATATATATATATATATATATATATATATATATATATATATACTGTCATCTACAGACAGACTATTTCACTGTATCACAGCTACTCAGTGTGGCTAGACATCCGATTGTTTCAGACTGAGGCCGAAACCTGACTGATTTGGTATGAGTCAAAGATTCTAACCACTAGGCCATTGACACCCAGCAGAGAGAAATGCGAATTTTTGTGTATTTATTTTTTCATAAACACACCAGTCACTAGGAGAGTCTGGCATTTTCAGCAGTAATAGTGACTGTTTACAAATTTGTTCCTTACTACCCACAGTACTTGACTGATTAAGTTATTTTATCAAGCACTAATATTGTCACCCACAAACTGTTTTGCTGTATCACAGCTCATCAGTGTGGCTAGACATCCAATATATATATATAAAAGTGAGCATTGCAGTCAACAGACTGTTACATGCTAAACGCAATCATCAGGGCACCTGAGTGGCTTGATAATTGCATTTAGCATGGCTTGTTGATTTAATGTTCACTTTTATATTTATATTTACATGCACTCTATCTCTGATATTGAACACATTATTCCATAAATATAGTATACTTTAAAACTATATTTCTTCATATATACATTATTCATTACCCACACACCCCTGATAATAACTCATATGAGGTAAAAGATAGGACACAGAAATTTTACTGATTTGGGAAATTTCATAGCAGCCAGTTTTGTAAAAGATCATTTGAAATTAACAAAAAAGTTTAACTTAATAGACATAAAATGTCTATACTTTTCAATAAAACATGTTTAAAAGAAGACATGCTGCCTAATTACAATAAACATTTGTGTGTGTGTATTTGAAGTAGTTATCACCAATTTTATATAAAGTTTAGATAAATTATTTTAAATTGTAGCTGTTATAAAGATACAAAAAGTGATTATCTCTCTTTGGTCAAAATAGTCACATGATGGTCACTTAGTGACATCACTTCATACAGTGACAAATGTGGTCAGTCATTCATTTGGTTTACAGTAGTCAAATTGAGCGGTTTCTTTTTTTAGCCCAGGCCAAGAGGCCCTGGCTGAGGCTAAATTTACCTCCTGCAGCAACTAACAAGTCCATGGTGCCATTTCCCTTTGGGAATATATCTTTCCTAGATATAGAAAGAAACTCTGGATTGCAATCCTCAATTTTGAAAAATCCAAGACTCACCATTTCCTGTTTGCAGAATATGTCCGAATTTGGACTGCTTGAAACTAGAGTCCTAAACATGGCTTCTCTAGAAACACAGAAGAATCTCCATATTATATGTAAGACCCTATCTTTTTGTTCTTTCATTCTACTTGTAGTGTAGACATATGATATATTATTCTCTGTGTGGAACACATATAAATATAGTTTTGTGAAAGTCTCTCAGAGAACAAAGCATGTTTGTCATTCATTTTTCTTTCAGCCATTCTGTTCTGTCTATGAAATACAGTGTTATTATATCATGGATATAATAATACCCATAATGGGGGAAATGTAAATGGGAGAATAAACCATTTCTTCCATAGATCCTTCCATTATACTGTTATTGATACTGTTAGATAAAATTATGTTCCTAGTTTTGTCAAAGTTAATTGCGTTAATTTCTTTTTTGTTTTTGTAAGGTTTGTAAGCTTTCTTCTGATGAAATATTCTTTGAAAATATTTTTAAACTCCTCCAATATCCTTATTATTTCATATATAATGCAAAAATTTGAGTTTAAAAATTAAACCATTGGTTCATGAATTTTTTGACTTAGTAATTGTGTATTCAAACCCTGGTGCAGTCAATGCAGACTCAGTGGAAACAGGATTAGCAATAATTGAGAAATATTTAATAAGAACTAGAAGACGTGTTCAGTGAAATGAGAACAATCTACTCCTGTAGATTAAATAAAAGTTTTAGTTCAAAATTCCCTGAAGGTTACCTGGACAGACAAGCACCTGGAGAAGGCTGGGGGTCACACACAATGACTGAAATGCTGTAATGATAACAACAAAGATGAGGACAATAGTTCAAATGTGATGCTTGGAGCTCCTTTCTTTATTTTGAATTTTGCTTTTTTAGCACTCACTTCCAGCTGATATGTAGGGGGAGGAGTAATCAGAAAGAGATCTAATTTATAGCAGAGTATAACACATGTAAAGGATGTTAATAACACCTCATCCCAGAACCTCAGACAAAAATAAAGACTCATTTCATATTTACTAAAATGGTTTTGATTATTTGAATGATTGCTAGAACAGACTTATTTGCATTGTTTACAGTCGGACTAATTTCCTTATCTTTGTTATTATAATTTCAATATTTTGGTGGTTGTGTCCTCTGGCTTTCTGCAGGTGTCTGTCAATCCAGGTTTTAGTCTACCACACTTTGTTAAGCTTGCCTGCCTAGGGATCCATTGCTAATGCCAACCAAGTAAGATCAGCCTTCAGGATTGAAATTGACGCTGGCTTTATAGTCAGTAGGTAACTCAGAAACAGCTGTGGCAAGAGCCATGGGATCTTTTTTGTTAATTCACCCCAAATAATGTAAAGTTACTTATCACAAATATTAATTCACTTCAGGAAATTATAAATTTTAAATCAAAGCTTGTTAAGCTGGCCTTGCTACAAACTCCAACACTCAGAATGAAAAATTACCAAAAATCAGGGAGTTATTCACATTTTATAATTGAAGATGATATTTGAGGTACTTACAAGGAATTTTTTACAAATTTTTTGGCTTTTTTATTGGGATGAACGCAAATGTAGACCCTACACTGAGAAATAGTGCACATGAGTCACCCACATTTGGGATGATCGCAATAGTCAACCCAACCAGGGTGCAATGGAAGGGCCTCAGTTTGGGAAAATTTGGTGTGAATTTTAGTAAATACAAATTATTATTTAACAGAAAATATCCAAGCCATGTAGGCCTTTTTCTGATTAGCCAGAAAAAAATGTTTTATGACATTGGAGCAGTATTCCATAGTGAGTGTCATTTCCTCACCTGCCATATTCACCCGAAACTTTTAGATAACTATTTGTTCTAGCATTTATCAAATTGACTTAATAATAAAAATTCCAATTATCTGGAAGACTGCAAGATTGTGAAAATGATAAAAAGTTTTAGGAAGATAGAATTATCTGAGATGACAAAAATAGTGGAAGAAAATGCTTAAATATGTTGTTCAATAATGTTGAAAATAAAAATGTTTTATTTTTACTTAATAATCAACCCAATAGATAACTATCTCAATCACAAGGTAGATTCATGCCCTCTTTTCTTCGCTTATGAATAAAGCGGAGAAAGAAAAAAAAACTGAAGACGGAATGACGGGTGGTGGGGGAATTGTTAGAATAATAGGCATTCATTGGTTATTTCTGTCAAGCCTCCAGGTCACGTGGATACTAATGTCAAGGTTGTCTGTTTCCACATAGGCATCCTCGATTCTCTCTGTCATTTTCAGGTGTTATATTCCTTAAAAGTCTTTACTTTATTAATTGATATTCACTTCACAATGTTGTCTTCGCTTGCAAAGTTTCGATCTCTGCTGCAGTTGAGTAAAGTAAGAATTTTTTCTTCTCATTTTATGTTTTTTTCCCTCCTCAGTCATTTATTATTTAGTTGCATTTTACGAACACGCTTGTCTTCTTTCTTTACCCCCAAAGAACTTATGTAAGCTTTTTCAGGGCAGAGGTTAATAATTTTGTCAAAATATGTGCAGTCCTTAGCTGGTCAGAAACTACTTTCAATGCAAAATGGAAATATTTATTAAGCTAATTAAAGTTATTATCTTTTTAATTTTTAAACAATTTTTTTAAAACCAGCAATAATTATTTGTACTCCAGTACCCGGCTGTACCGACCCATGACCTATTTGGAGTGAGTGCTTGAAGCAACCAAAAAAAAAACAAAAAAAAACTGGAAGAACTCAAAGTGTGAAGAATAGAAACCACCTTGACAAGTGACAATATGCTAAAATAATAATAATAAAAAGCATTGGTAGTGTAAGAAAGAAATAGGCTGTCACTTCGTCTCCGGCGAGAGTAAACAGACGAATGGTTTGTTTGAATCGTCAACAAAGTATATTTTTTTAAAAATTTAAATTAAAAAAAAAAAAAAGTAATAAAAATTAACTGTAGTGTAAATAGAGATTATTCTGAGTATTCCTGTATTCGTTTACTTAAAGTCTATTAATTTTACAATATTTTTTCAAAACAACAAAGGCCGTAATTAAATTCTTTAATCTCCGGGAGGATTTTTCCACGTGTAATTCACAGGCTGTATTCTATTTTTAATTAAAAACTTTAAATTAAAATTATTGTCCGAAATATTTATTATGCTTAAAATTTCTCTCTAATGATGTATTAAGAAAAAATAAAAATGATTCGTTATTGGACTTTCTTGAATGTCTGTTCCAATGAACAATTAAAAATGTTCTATTAATTGTTTTTTTGGGGGTATTTTATTTTTACTTTATATTTTTGCAACACGTCCAAGTTTTCAGTCTTTCATTTCTTTAATACAGAAAGAAATGAAAACATGGAAAATTATGGTAGGTAATTTATTATTACCCATAACTTTCAGTTTCTGTTAAGTTAAAAAAACATAATGTAAGTTGGAAAACTATCGTCATTGTTGTACTAAGAAAGCTTAATTGACTGACAATTATTTATTTTTAAAAAAATCCTTGTTTTTTTTTTGTTTTTTTTTATTTTAGTTTTTAATATTTTTTCCCCTTAAATTTTTCAAATCGTCTCCTGTGTCACCTTTTTTTTAAATTTTAGTCTTCACTTTTTCTATTCTTTCTTTTTTAACTTTGCCTTAAAAATTCGGTTGACAACAGCAATTTTTTACAAGAGTCTGCACTTTTTAAAAGGGAAAACTCTTAGATTTCACTCCACTTCAAAACAATGACGAAATCAAGATTTTTAATAAATGCAAAAAATAAAAGTATCTTTATTTCACTAAAACTAAAAAGAAATGCAAAATTAACTTTTTTAGTCTTTTTTTTTTTTTTTTTTTTTTTAAGTTGCAGAAACTTTGTCTCTTAAAACCTCCGAAATAAGAGATTAAAAGACGTTGTTTTAGCTTTTCATGGATACAGCAGTCTTCATCAGTGGTCGACCCTCAGACACGTTGGGAACTAATGCCTCTCTATCCCCCCTCTCCAAATTATGGCCCGTCCGTTTTTGTTTTGTTTTCTTACACTTTCTTTTACATAGCGTTTTTTTAGTGTATGAAAAATTTCTCCGTTTTTTATTTGTAGTATTTTTAATCTTCTTTCATTAGTGATTACAAATTTAAAAAAAATTAATATCATTTTTAAGAACATCGTTTCTTTTTGTAAATCAAGATCACTACGTTTGTTAAAAAAAGTTAGTTTTTTTTTTTTTTAAATAAATGAATATTCGATTAAAATAACTAATTCACGTCATAAATTTCTCTATCCAGATTTAAAAAAAAAGCTGTGTCATCAAATAAACAAATTTTAAACTACATAAGTAGTTCAGTCTACTAATTATGTTCGTTTTACTTTTAAAACACCTTAATCAAGAAAGTCAATCAGATCAACAAAAATGAATGATACAAGGAATGTATAATTTTTGTGTAGCAATCAATTTCACTTTGTGTACGTCACGTACGTGTGTCAACATGTGTGAGAAATATAGTGATTTTCCAAGCGTAGCTTAGATGTGGAACAATGCCGAAAGTATTAGGCACTCAGTGATCGAACTCGCTACTCAGTCGTAATTGTTCTAGCGAGACAAGCTTGCTAACCACTACAGTACACCGCCTTGAGGAGCCCAATGATTTTCCAAGCTAGCTTAGATGTGACACAAGGCAGAAAGTATGGGGGCATCCAGTGATGATCGAACTCGCTCTCTAGTCAATCGTAATTGTCTTAGCGAGACAATCTTGCTAACCATGACACCGCCTCGAGGTACCCCATCTGTGAGAAATATAGGTAATTAAAATAGTAGTTAATAGTAGAAATTGACTTTTTAACGATGATTTTGTGGAAATATGGCATACAATATTGACATAGACTTGATTGAAAGCAGACGAAATTGAAAGATATTTATTTTATTTTTTTTTATTTTTTAAGCATTTCACCCCAAGCAAGGCAGGAAGCCACTAGGACACAAGGGGTTACAGAAAATATAGAGCGAGATCAGATAGGAGTGATAGAAGAGGGTATGAGGAGAAGGGTAGTGGATAGATCAAGGCAACTGGAGATGTTGATTGACATTACACTTGAATAGCTGGAGATTATAGCTCTCAGGGAAACTGGAATAGGGAAGGGAGTTCCACAGGCGAGAGGTGAGACATTAAGCTATTAGAGTAGAAGAGACAGCTACATTTAGGAGTTTCGACAGTGAAGGGGTGAGAGCGGGATGCCAGCTTCGTAGGGCGCTTGAACTCATGAAGTCTGGGAACCAGCGAATGCAGCTCCTCGGAGCAGTTACCATGAAAGTATTTGTAGAACAGACAGAGAGAGAAGACGGCGCGTCTGTGAGAAAGTGACTGTAGACAAGATGTTAGAGCAGGGCCAATTATATTGCATATCCGCCTCTGGAACCTATCAAGAACCCCGAGGCAAACAGAAGGGGCACCAGACCATATATGGCAGCAATACTCCATGCAAGGGCGAATTGTTGATTTGAAAAGTTAAGAGAAAATTGCACGAATTTGAAGAAAACCAGGCACTCACTATTATTGAGTCACTAATTCACAACTGGTTGATTCATAAAAACAAGAAAAAATGTTTTTTTTCGAGGAATAATTTTTGTTGACTAGTGTAGCATTCATTACGCTTTCCTTGTGTCACAGCCTTTCTTTGTCAGAATCGAAAAATATTGATTTTTTTTTTTTTTTTTTTGTTAAATCGATTTTAAATCATAATAAATATCGTTACATACAGTGAAAAATCGCGCCCTGACTTTATCTTGACTTACTTTGTTCCAAAACTTTTTAAAAAATTTAAATTTCTATTTTTTATTAATTTTTCTTACTGGGATTTTTTTTCGGAAACACATGCCATAAACATTGCATTGATGGATAATAAATTATCTTAAATGAAGAATAAACTTCTGAATTTATTTATATTTTTGTTTTTTAATTAAAAATGTATTTAAAAGAAATGCAAAATAACTAGTTTCTGATAACTCTGTAAAATTTAGGTATTGATTTTTACACTGTATTGATATTATGAACAGAAATTTAAAAAAAATTTTAAAATGATAAAAAAATCAATAGTTTTTATTCTTACAAATGTCGCACTATGATGAAGGTCTACTGAATGCCAATCTACGAAAATTAATTCTAAAAAAGTTTCCTTTATTTTTTTAATGAGTGGACCAGGCTACTTTAGTGCTGAAAACCAATTGATTGTCTTTGATTTTGTGTATTAATAAGAATTTGATGACAGAAAGAAAGGTTAAATTTTACCAAAAAATGATTTAATTCTAATTGGATGCAAAAACTATAAATGCAATGTGTTATGTACATTTTGATTGGCTGAAATATCGATGATAGAATAATTAAGATAACTACCATCTAAAGATTTCTGAGGGATATGAAAAATCTATACAAAATAAGGATAAAATGGTGTGCTTCATAAAAAAAAAAAAAAAGCTGACAAAAATAAAATTCAAAATAAATTTAGAAATTTGTGGTCAGTGTAGAAAATATATTGTTAGGTAAATAAGAAGAGAATTTTCAACCACTTGCTGTTGGTTTCTGTTTGAGTAAATTCAAAAATCTTTGCATTTATATCCCTTAAAAATGGAAAAATACAAGACTTTGCAACAGGTTGTACTCGGTAAACTAAAAAATGTCAACACATCTACACCAAGTAACTCCCTTTTTCCAAAGAAGTTTATCAGAAATAATGATAAATAATTTACTAATAAATCTTTTGTAATTCATTTTTAGAAATGATGTACAATGATTAAAATTTTAATTATTGAACTGTTAATGCTTTGGTACAAGTCAAATAATGTGTTTTACACTGAAATGTGTGTATTGTCACAGAAATATATGAAGAATTTTCATCTGATAAAGATAAACTGATTAAATTTATTAAGTGAATGCAATGCAAATTAATATATGTAAGGTAATATATGTAAAGGAGTCACCACCAACCTTCTTTGACTACCTTAGTCATATTTGATATTTCCGGTATTTCTGTTAAGAGGAAAAAAACATTTGATTTAACACCAGATTTTGTAACTTTTTAAAATTTTTTTTAGCAAATATTGGTATTCTAACCATCTATCAATTGTGCCTAGCATGAAACAGCTTGTTGCCTCTGAGTGTTGACTTCAATGTTCACTTTTGTATTTATATTTACATATGCTCTATCTCTGATATTGAGCACTTTATCCCATAAATATAGCACACCTTAAAACTATATTTCTGCATATCTCTCTCTCTCTCTCTCTCTATATATATATATATATATATATATATATATATATATATATATATATATATATATAAATTGAAAATTAAAAAAAAAATAGATTTTTGTTTGTCACTCATCAAAAATTAATATAAGCTT